AAAAAGTATCGTTGGTTAAATTGACATATCTCGGTTGATTTTAATTGTACAAACTTCTACCAGGCACCATTTTAAAGGTCTAGAAACCAGCTTTCATTTGAATATGGCATTACATATACCTAAATTAACTCAGAAAAAAGTTATAAGACGAAAATCGTCAAAAATGGACAAAAATTGGCCAAAAATCCAAAAAGTAGCCAACTTTGATCCGATGTATATCGGTTTCTATTAGTCGTAGGTACTTCTATAAAGGCTTATTTTAAAGGAAAAAACTTTAACTTTTTTTTCTGTGAAGCAATGCCTATACCTAACTCCTCTCAGAAAAATGTTGTGGGACAAAAACCGAAAATAAAATTAAACGCATTTTTTCGGGTATTTTTTACTCGTTTTTTGGGCATATTTTTGTTAACAATGATTTTTTTGACTTCAAAAGGTCTCATTTCGATTCCAAATTCAATTTGCTACAACTTTTCTGGTGACAACTATTTAGAAAAAATTCATAGTTTTCGAGTAAAACTCAAAAAAACTGAAAATACCACCTTTTTACTTCGTTCTCAAAAACGCACCCCTTTAAAAGGTAGCACTCCGCGGTTTTATCATTTTTTATGGTCAATTGAACATATCAAACAATAAAATTTCCGTTACGTTGTAGTTTCTTTGTACCCTCTTTTTTTTACATAGTCAATAGCCTATAAGACAGCGTGAAATAGAATTTAACCAGTGTTTATACTACCTGTAATGTAAAAAATTGTGCATGTGTTAAGAGCGCCGTTTTCATGAAAGACTGTTTTCTACAAACTCAAAAAATGTTAAACCCGGTTATTTTCAAACTAACAGAGAACGACGAACACAAACGGGCTAACATAGACATTTTAAATCTAATTTTTGTTCATAAAAAGCAGCAAACACTTCATCCGATTGCAATGAAGTGTATGTAAAGACAGAACTTGGGTGAGGTTTATTTAATTTGTGACAAATTAAATTGTAGAAATTTGCTTACGTTGAAATCTCATATTAACCATAATTTTCAGTAATATTTTTAAATATCAAATTGTCACCTTTCGGCTTTAATAATACCTAAGTTGAGTCCTAGTTTCCAAATAATGTTTCAATGTTGCCGGGCTGTCTATCTTTCTCTCGCTTTATTTGTCTAGTGTAACGAACGTAGGTATACTCAACAGTTTGGCAACGTTTATATCTACAACTTCAACTTCAGAGTGGGATTTTTTTTATTCTATGATCTGTGGTTCGTCCCAGTTCCCAGTTTTTACCTATAATTAGTTGTATTTTGCAAATTGCTCCCTAAACCTTTTAAATGAGATACAGAGAACGGCATTTAGACGATGTTACCACATAAATATTACGTATTAAGTCGAAGCATAACCTTGTATAAATATTTAAATTTGCATTGAAATTTTTTTCTTATGTCTGTCTCATTTATTATTCGGCCATTAAATAATTAAGTTTTGTCTTACTTAATACGTTGGTACGATGTAACATTAATCGTTTCGAGTTGTAAACAAATTCGAACATTTTTTTCTAAAACCTCTCTGTCTCGGGAAAAAGTTATAAGCTTTATTAAAAAAATTGGGTAAGACACTAAAGATATTTTTTTATTATAGTATTTTAGTATATTACAAGCAACGAAATATTTTATATTTTGATCAGGAATATTTTTAACGTTGGGCACCTTTAAAGAATCGTAATATACCTAGCGGAAAAAAGTTTTCAAAATTTTTGCTTCCCTTTCGTTCACGCACTTCAGTATTTTTTTTTGTTACTGTCAGTTCATTTATTTTGATTCATTTTCTTTGATTTCAGCTGTTCCGGACCTTTGTACGATGATTTGTCGATAAGTTATCGTCGTTCAAAGCAAAAATTACCTTTTTGGCTTCGATAATAAATATACTTGGGAATTAATGATCGTACAAAAAATCTAAGCAGGGTTTTGAAAACTAAAAGGTATTCTCTATTAAGGGGTTCTTATCGTTTTTTGATAAAAAATTATTTTCGATGCAAGGGACTTGACTCATGGACCTTTTGATTTTTTTTTAACGCTGGATTCCTTGCGATTTTTTAAAGGTATTCAACGATAAACATTTTTGAAAAACAGATCTTGAAACTGGAAATTCCAGACTTCAGTTTGCTTATTTATTTATTGCTTTACTACCATTTTTCGCCAAGATACAGCCGTTTCAAAGTCATGATTTTTTTTATCCTTTAATTTTTGTGACTAGTTTATATTAAAATACATTAATTTTTTAATATTATGTTTGAAAACTATTTAATTTTATTAAACAAACAAAGAACCTTGAACTGTTACGACTTTAATATACAACATCCATAATATTTAATTAGTTTTTCAGTAGGTTATCAGTAAGTTACTTGCTAAAAATATTTAACCATGAAAATAGCGAATATGTCATTATATTTCAAATATTTAAAAAAAATTCTTAAATACAAATTGTTTTTTTTTAAGTGTCACGTGTTTATAAAATTCTCCCATTCTCTAAAAACAGTCAAAGTATCATTATAGATTTGCCAATATTAGAGGAAGAAAGAAGAAAAAACGTAATGGGAATTCGAACAACGTATTATTTGACTAAACGATTTGTGAAACTAATATAAGTACTTTTGAGCAAAAACTACAGTTTATCTCGAAAACACCTTTTAGACCAGGGCGGATCTGTCGAAATCTTCTACGTGAAAAAATTTTCAAGTACATATCTAGATGCTTTATTTGAGGCTGTGCAACATTTTGAAAATTCGAAAAAATTTTTTCAAAAAATTATTTTACGAAAACTATCGAATCGATTTTAATGAAATTTATTGTGTTGATTTATTATACTCTAAAGTTTTTTTCTACCAAAACTAAAATGCCATCGGAGCAATTAAAATATTTTAAAAAAATTATCCAAAAAACTTGATTATTTTTCCATTTTTTCATCAATTATTGCTATTTTGCAACATCGGTAATAAATTTAAATATTTTGAACTTTCAGTATATTGTGCAAAATTCAATTCTAAAACTTTTTTTCCTCTTCAATATTCTTTTAAATTGCATAGATTCCAAGATATAAGTAAAAATTCAGATAAAATAGGTATTTTTTAAAATTTTTTAAACATTTTTGAAATTTTGAAACTGTTCCGGACCTCGCCCAGATCTAGGGATCTACACTTTTATTATGTGAGTTGTACTGAAGGTAATCCAGAAAAAAAAATTGCTTGCCCCTTCTCACATCCACCTCAAAACAGATCCGCCCTGGTCTATTTTTACAATTCAGTTTGTTTACAGAAAAGCAAATGCAAAAATTTTAATTTACAGTAAAAGTTTACTTTAGAAAAAAAGCAATGGTATGCTATGAAGAAATATTTCATTTTATATTACAGAGAAAATATTACGGAATAAAAATCAAACCCGTCAGTTTGAAATGGAATCGTTGAAATCAAAAATCAAAGAAAGCCATGCTAGCCGTGAGGTGTTGTTTGTTATTGTTGTCATGTATACGTCAATTGTTTGTTTAGTCGACGTTTAGTCGAATGTTATTTGTTATTGTTGTCACGTATACGTCAATTGTTTGTTTAGTCGACGTTTAGTCGAATGTTGTTTGTTATTGTTGTCACGTATACGTCAATTGCTTGTTTAGTCGACGTGATTTTTGTCGAAATTGTTGTGTAGAGTTCTAAAATGTCTCTTTTCGGTAAAGATTAATCAGTAATTCGAAAAGAACTACAAACTTAATACCTAAAAATGTCAAAAAAGTCTAAAACAATAGTATGGGAACAGTTTATCGAGTTCTGGTGTAGTGAAGAGATGTATAAAATAGACGAATCTTTGACTTGCGAATATTTTGGAAAACTATATGCTTGCAATATGATGACAAGAAATTGTGAAAATTGTAAAGAAAGTATAATTAAAACAAGAAATGTTTTATGAAAAATATAGAACTGAGCTCAATAGCACAGAATAATATATTTAAAAATTTAAATGTTAAATTGTCGAGAAATTTACTGTATTTTGGAAAATTTGTTATAATTTCGCTGAATTTAGTACAACTATTTTTTCTACTACTAATTTTTAATAAAAAATAACCAATTCCTTTCCGCTACGTAGTTAAAAACAAAATTTTATGTCTTCCAATAGAAAAAGGTCGCGTAAAATCGAGTCACAAACGAAAATGCCGACCTTATAAAAATGTGAAATTCTTCTCGCATCACAGCCCAATCTAAGGCAACGCACTGCTTCACATTCCATACATAAAACACAAAATTCTTTCCACCAAACTTGATATCCGTCGTATTTAATGTTATATAATGATCATTTATGAATCGCCTCGCCTCGGTAACAGAACGGAGAAAATGCAAGAAATCACCCGTAACAAACGCTAAACGCTACTTACTCACTGAACTGATACTCCTGGTGGTACTGCACACTAGATTTTGTAGTTCACTGCACCAAAACTATCTACAGACGGAGATCGCGGGTGCATGCGGAGAGAAAAACAAAAACACGTCGCAGATCGCCCGTCGCTCGTCAATTGTTGGAGTCCGGTGAGTCCGGTGGCCGCAAGACTGGTCTTGCGTTTCGTCGGGCAGGTGGGGGGTCTGTGCGTACTCGCGAGAGGAGCGGTTGTGTTTAGTCCTAGTAGACAGGGGTTCGGAAGTGGTAATTTTCCATAAACCCCAAATTTTTTACTAACCGGCCACAAATATGTTATAAAATGACACATTAAAGTGCACAAGCGTCACAAAGTGCAGAAATTGCAACGACAAGGCACGACAGCAACTTTCCTGGCTTGACCTAGAATTGAAATCTTCGCTTGGGGAATACGATACTCGTTTATTTTCATATGTCTTTTAACAGAATATGATATCCCCCCGTATATTGACCCGCTGAAGACCCGAATTCACTTTTTATATTGAAATATGAACACACGTGTATGATGTCCATGGACCACTGCATAAATTGCAAGTCACGACACCGACTTTCCTAGCTTGACCTAGAATTGGAATCTTCGGTTGGGGAATATGATTCCGCAAAATTTTATAATTACGAAAAAAAATGACCAGCGCGGTGTGGTAACATGATATAAATAAACGACTTTGGCGCAGTCATAAAAAACACAATTGCACGTCCAATTATTTCTTTACTAAGAGGTGATAATTGTAAGTACACTCATAAAAGTTTTATGTAAAATTATAGGTACGCACTAGATAATTGCTTATTTTATCACCGTACTAGGTCATGTATGTAAGACTTTTTTATACAGGGTGTAAATTAATAAGTAGGTAATTCCCTGTTGAAAAATACACAGGGGTGTCGGTGAATACATTTTTAGTAAAATGAGAACGCACACGTGCTTGATAGCCACGAAGTATTGCAGAAATTGAAACGACAAAGCACGACACCAACTTATAGAATTACAAAAACAGTTTCTTATAAATGTTGTAGAGCACAAAATTCTACATAAAAATGGTCTATTAGCTTTTTCTTGTACCTACTATTAAAATTAACAGAGTTATGGAGACTAAAATTTAAGGGATGATTTCAGAAATTTAAAAAATCATAACAGGCAGAAAAATGAATTAATTTTATAACTTTTTTTTCAGTCTACTCTAAAAAATGTAAACAATCTTTTCAGAGAAATACAGGGTGTTCCTAAATAAGTGTCGCAACGGAAACTGTAAATTCCTCTTGAAAAAAGAAACATTTTTTTCCTCTTCAATTTTTCTCTCCGGGCTTTCGGTTTCAAGATACACGGTGTCGAAACTTTAATTTTTTTTTAGTTTTTCGACAATATCTTAGGAATCGTTTGAACTACAGGACTGAGCTTTTGTACACACATTACCACTATTAATAGCTACTTTTTCGCACCCTTCTCGAATTCATTGGACGTGCCAGTGGTGGAGATTTTAAGGTATCGTAAGGGTTTTTCCCCCCCTAAATTTTACGCCACTGGAAAAATTGACTTTTGACAGCAAATTCTAAAGCGCCAATGAATTTTACACAATAAGAGTTCTCTTGGTTCATTGCTCTAAAGTCAACCGTTTTCAAGAAAAATGACTTTTTATGAACAAAAGCAAACATTTT